TGACTGACTGCTTTCTAAAGATGGAGAAACTTGTGATCTAACCAAGCGTGCCGCCTTAAATAAATGCTCTGAAAAAAGGCAGATCATTTCTAAAGAAATGTAGTCCTCTCTAAGCTGATGAGGACACAGCTTGTCATTAAAACTACAGTTGGGGGAGTCCGGGTAGCTCAACAGTTTGGGTGGGCAACCCATGAACAGGAGCCGTAGTCCCCGATGCAGTGGGTTCCAGTCTGGCCCATGACCATCTACTGCAAGTCCTTCCTCCTGACTCTTCTCCCCACGTTTCCTGTCTCCCTCTCTCCATTGTCAACTATAACAAACGCTAAAACGCCCAAAAAACTACAGTTGGACATGTAGAATACTGAAAAAATAAAAGCTTTGACTCTCATTAAAGAACGATGACTGACTTAGAAATCAACTTAGAAGTAATGCAATTAACAGGAGGTGATACGATTCTAAAATATGTGACGCTGAAGTGACATTGCACCACTAAACACTTTATTTTCCTTTTTTGTTCTGGGGCTGCTCCTCATTGTTCGAGCGGCTTCCCTCAAATTAAGGCAAATCCTGACGCTCCGACCTACAGTGACATTTAGACTGTAGTGTGGCTCCGCTTAAGGGCAGCTCCTTGTTTTAACAAGACAATGCCCCTCGTGCACAAAGCAAGGTCTACATATAAATAAGTTTGACTCGCCTGCGTAGAACCTCTGACCCTGAGCGAGGGCTGCCATGGCAACACACAGATGCTGCCGGCTTCAGAAGATGTTCAGCAGCTTTAAGTGTTCACACGGATTTACACCAGATAAGTCGCTCACAAAATGACCGGGGTGGACTAATAGTTGGAGAAATTGTAAGTGGCGCCGTCCTGTGTAGAAAATTACAGGATGGCCGCCCCGTTCCCACCTCGACGGTCCGCCCGTGTCAGAAATAATTTCAGGTGAAATGTCGAATTGCCGGCAAATGCAACGGTGAAGCCGCTAAAGCACGGCGCAGATGAGAGCAGTAAGTAGGATTCACAAGGAGCTGGCATTCTGACTGCTGCTATCGATAACAACCCGCTGGGTGATCACACAGTTTAAAGTGTGTGATCACACAGTTTAAAGTGTGTGTGGACCGTTTTCACCGCTCAGCAGGAGACCGTGGCTTCCATAGGGTCGTAACCATCCGTTCAGAAACACACCACCGCTTTGGTTTTATTAAATATGCAATGAAAAACTGAAGCAAAAAACACTGACAAACCTTTAATTTGTTAAGCTGCTGCCTGTTTTCATACCTGCTGGGTTTTTAGAGTCAAAACACTCGTCTGTTCTGGTTTAAAACTATGAGGGTTGTGGCGGTAAAACCAGACTGTAAGGTTGTCGGCCAGTGAAATTACGAAACTCCTCCTGAAGCTCGGTTAAGTCGATTTAAGTGTCTCGTTTCTGTTAAAGCCACGTTAAAGGTCGTTTACAACCACTAGAGGTCACGATCTCAGACCAAAACAAACAGGTGTGTCGCCCCAACCTTTACTACCTGCTTTAGTTTCCACCAGAAGAGTTGAGTAGCCAATAAAAAAGCCAACAAAACAAAAAAGGCAACCAAAAATAATCAAGGCAAAATCGTTAGCCCGAGCTAGCATCGCTAAACGCGTCACATCAGTTTGTTACGGTGGTCGTTTGACCTGTTTTAGCCTCAATGTGTTAAGAGAAGCAGAGGTTTGCACATTAAATTTAAAAACTTATTAAGTAAATAGCACAATTATATTTCTTCGTTTTCAGATTCTTTGTATTTCGGGGCAGCAAAAGATCGCTTTTCCAGCCCACTGCATCTCTACACAACAGAAAGTTGTTTGCGGCTACATCAATGCTTCTGTTTTTGTTTTGCATATTGTAGCTTTAAGGTTAAATTGGAGGAAAAAACAACAACAAAACAACAACAACAACATCTGTACACGGGCTTCAGCTGTAGAGCCAAAAACCACATTAGAAACCACTGAAACTGTTTTGTTAGCACTTAAACCAGCAACTTAGTGAACTTAACCCTCGCTACCTCGGTAAAAACTCTCCTTCTTGTCTGACTTTCCAAGCTCTGGAAGACAGACGATTTCAGCGCCGTGCATCCGTTCTGCCTGCTTCCTCGGCAGAGAGGTGAAATCTCATGTCTCAAAAGATTTTTTTGCAGCCAGGGGCAAGTTCACTAAGGCCTCCGCTCTCGCCTGCCGCTCAACTGGCATCGACCAGCGTTTAGCCTCTTTCCTCCTAAATTCCTGGCTAAGCTCCCAGAATGAGTGCAGGGGGCGGGAGTGCAATTTCAGCCAGGACGAGCTGCTACGCTTGCTAGCACGAGAACTTTGGTTTGTGTGTTTAAAACAGTAGCATATGGCCTTGAAACGGTGGTGCCCTTGACATCTCATCTACCCCCGCGGAGGTGGACAAAAATCCCGGCAACGTTCAGTAAAAAAAACGCCATCAGCTGACTGGAAGCTTCACGGGCACTTGGCAGAATAACCTCATCTGGAGATGCGGCTACACGATCATTAAATCGAGTCAAAACGGATGATAAGCCTCGGAGGTGAGCGGAATCACGATAGGTTTCAATACCGGCGGCGATGGAGCAACCTCAATCTGCCGAAGACGATCATTCGATACGGTTGAAAGCCCCGGAACAAGTGAACGGGTGGACCCTGAGTCCAGGCTGTTCGGTCGACTGCGGTTTTCCGAGATTAGCAAATAAACTGCCGAGCTGGCGTTCGCGACGTCTTAAATGCCATAAATCCAGAGTGCAACTTCACGCAGCCACACGCGAGTACAAAAAGTTCCACATGAGAGCACAAAGTCGCTGCGATGCAAAGACGCACACCCCAACGCACACATCCAGACACTTTGTGGGAGGGATTCAGGGAAAATGTTTTCTGACAGATACGCCCGCGCGCAGCCTTCAGCGGCGGCTGCATGCGGTGGAAAATGACTTCAGGTCGCAGATTAGCTAAACTACAAGACGCAAGACGAGCATGTATTTATATTTATATGCAGCTGAAGCAATTCGCTCGGGTCAAGGAATCACATTTACACCAGATGTAAAGATAAGACGGGAGCGTCCTGGTGCTTCAAATAAACAAAGCTCAATATAATCTAATGCATCGACGTGCTCTCCGAACGTACGCGGAGGATATAATAAAAAATGAATTCAAGCAACACTTCCCGAGAGTGTTCCAGGCGAAAGCTATAAAAACCGGCTTTATTTCGGTGTGTGAAAGCGAACAGCACTTTCCCGTCCTGCCTCTTTGCATGATGGAAACAAAGAACCACTCAGTACCGTTATTGGGTCGGCTGTAAAAAAAAAAAAGGACATATCTGGGATAAAAGCAAAGAACAATACCTGAGTTATTTTGGACTGCACAGAGGATACTATGGATGAGGACACTGCCTTGTCTTTCTCCTGAGATCCACCCCTGACGAGAGAAGAGAGGGAGAAAGACGGAGAATAGAAAATCAATCATGTTAACAGGAGAGGATATACAATATTCATGATATTTTCTGAGATGTTCAGAGTTGGCCAGAGAGCACTAGGAGGAGGAGGAGGAGAGAAGAGGGAAAGAACTCAGGGCAAAAAAAAAGAAAGGTAAAAGTGTGAGCTGTCAAAATAGCCTTCTGGAGTCGAAGCCGCCAAACGCTGCTGCGTATAGAATCACAACAATCGGAGGCCTTAAATTCAACTTCACGAAATTCAACCTCCACGCGCTGACATTTCATAATTTATAAAGCGTTTTTTAAAACAGAAAAGTTCACGTGCGTCAAGTTAATTGAACCCAACAGGTAACGAGAGGATGCAGCTGCTGACGTTGTGGAGTTTTTAGGCTTCGGTCCACGATCCGGAGCGTACGCGTCACTCGGCTGAGCTCACTCGACTTTTCACTTCTTCAGCATCTTCCAACCAGCTCCCTACGAAGTGAGCAGCAATCCCAGAGTGACAGAAAGCAGCCCTTGTCCTTTAACGCGCAGTTTATCGTTGAGTTTCTTACAAAGTCAAAACAGAAGTTTTAATCACAAAAAAAGAAGCCAATCTTCTCTTGGAATGACTCGGCTGCTTGTGTGGCTCCTCGAATAATAGCGCCTCTCTAAAAAAAGACAGACTGATTGCTGGGCACGAACAACAAAAAAGCAAAGAGAAACCCGTCTTTGTTCAAAATAAAAGCGTTCTCACCTGTAACTCGGCTGATACGCTGGTTAAGTTGGAGGTTGTGATGCTTTTAAATGCATTCAACTGCACGCGATACTTAAGGAAACAGTCTGTCTGGGCGTTAGAGGGATGTTTTTGTGGCTTGTTTCTGGACAAAATCACAGACTTTAAAACTTTAAAACGCTTGCTTACTAATTACAAAACCCACTGGTATTGATTTACCAACTAAAGAGAACGACTTTTAAAATAAAACTTTGGCCGACAGTTACGGACGAGGTAGGATTTAGCATATCGTTAAACTCTAATATTCATCTTTTATTTATTAACGTGTAAAAAGTGCCCTTGCGCCTCCTCTCGGGTTTGATTCGTGAGCTACTTTACCGCCAACGTCCCCTCAGCAACCCGCTCGGTGAGTAAAATATTACACCTGAAGGGAACGTCGGCGTTAAAAACCAAGTCCCAGATTGAAATATACCAAAAGTTTTTCCCAAAACAAGGCACCGCTGCACTGCTGCACTGAGAGGACTGAGGTTTTTTATTTCTGTGTTTTGTTTTGTCCTCTAGCATTCAAAAAGTCAATGTATGCAGCTTTAACTCCTGATAAATTAATAAACAGCAGACCAGCAACTCCAAGATACCAACAGAAACTGTCTCTGCTGCCAACGTCAGGAACGCATTTTGGTTTTGTTGCCTGAAGACCTTGAAGCTGAAAGACGGAGGCTGTGAGTCAGAATATCAGACGAACAAAAAACAGCAGCTTGTTTTAAGAGTTAATCCTAAATATTGGACTTTATCAGTGATTCTGTTTGCTCCACGTGAAGCTTCGTGAGCCCTGCAGGAGGAACTGGAGCGAGTACGGCAGATTTACAAGCGAGTAAACTGTATATATATCTCCTCATTTGTCAGCTCTAAGCCCGCGTCCTCTAAAACAAACATCTCTTTCTTTCGGCGGAGAGACGTTCGGCTACATCTGGGAAATAAATCTAAACGCTTAGCCGGATTATTGGCAGGCCTGTCGACGGCTACCTTGAGTGGGCCAGGCTGGAGGCAGGGCTCGCTGATGGAGACAAAACTCTGCCGGGCGACGAGAACGGCGAGACGGAGAAACCCGCCATTTGCATCTGTCCCGAGGATGACAGGGAGCTCCTCCTCTGCTCGGCGGGGGACCTGCGAGACAAAGGCAGGAAGGAGCTAAAAATATTTGAATTCAGGTAGTAACACCGCCGCCGCACCGTACACAAGATATCAAAGGGGTGGAATATATTCTGGAAGAAGAAGAAGAAGAAAAAAAAAGCACATCCCATGGAAATTGTTGTTTTTTTTGTCTGACATATTTGGACAAGCGGTGCCTACGGACGGCTTGAGAAACACGGCGAGGAAAACTTTCAATCATGTATTCAACAGAAAAAACATCAATCGCTTTAATATTCTTCTGCGGACAAAAAAAAGTGAAGCCACCCTTGACCTCAGAAGCTTGTACTGACCCCTGTAGCGAGAGCAGCTCGGTGTGGGCGTTCGGTTTTGTTCTTCACCGGTATCTGACATCAGCTCAAGTTTTGTGTTTTTTTTTTTTTTTTTGGACCACTGGTTCAGGCGAAAGTCCTTCAGATGGAAGACGCTGGAGGGTTTTTACCGGCTGCTTTGCATGCACTTTTGACACCGACGGTATCAAAAGTCACCTCTGATTAAATTCTCGGGCACTTTGAGACGTCTTTTCTGCGTCAAACGGTCTGCTCTTGGTCTGCTCTTGGTCTGCTCCTGGGCTGAGTTTGCCGGGGCCTTAAGGTGGGATTTTTTTTTGAGAAATAGATCTTTTTTTTAAATCCCTCGCCAGACTCACAGGCATCAACAACCTTTTTGATGAAGGCCTCAGAGAGCTCTTTAGATCTTGGCACGATGACGCCACACACTTCAACAGCAAAGGGAACATCAGATGGTAGATGTCAGAGATTTAAATAAGACAAGCTGCACCTGTCACCCCATAAGGAGGTTTAACTCGTTGGCGCCCGATCTCCAACCCTTGATGCTATTTTTATGGGTTTAATGAACGATAAAGTCGCCTATCTGTCTTTTTAAATTCATTCCAGTTAGGAAAATGAGCGCAAAACATCAATTTTATGCCGCGTTCGTTTATCTGTAGGTGCTGTTTTGAATGCTGAGACTGAAAACGTCGATTTATATGAAGCGTACTGACTTCCACGACTCAGAAGCATCAAATGCTCACCTTCTCACTGGTGTGCACAGCCACCCTTAACGGTATAACCATGGCACAAATACCTACAGCAGATATACAAGCGACATTACAAGCGCACCAGAAAAGATATTAAGATCCCAGATGCTTTTGCAACAAACCGAAAAATCTCACACATTTCACGCCCGACGACGGAGCGGCATCGGCGCCGCTCTCTGCCTCGGCAGCTGGAACAATCAATGTTTTCAGCGTTAAAATAAACACAGCTGAAGATCCGTGACTCTTCCTCTCAGCGCACACCTGCTGTTAGGTTTACCTGGATCTCGAACGCCTCCTGGGCAAACCGGAGCCGCCGCCGCCTCCTCCTCCTCCGCCGCCGCCGCTGCTGCTGCTGGGATGATGGCGCTCCCGGTCCCTCTCCTCGCGTCTCCTCTCCGACGAGGGGCCCCTCCTGTCCCTCCTCCCCTGGGAGTGTGAACGTGATCTGGGCCCCGACAAAGAAGGAGGTAAGATGGGAAGAAACCCATTAAATTAGGAGCGTGGAAGAGGAGCTGATGCATTTGAAATGAAGATCAAGAACAGAAGAGGGAGTGATGCGATAATGACAGCTACAGAGGAAGGGAAAGAAAATTAATTAAAGAACCGTGATGACTTTCATGCAACTGACGGTTCTCATTCGGTTGTTCCATTAAACCAACTTTCTGAAGCTCTCAATGAAGCAATTTACATTCTTATGAAACCAGTATACAGTCTAAACACCGTGCAAGTGGGCCACGGAGCAAGAACAGTTCATTACTTTAATAAAAATTATATCACACGGACTTAAAAATGGAAATACAGCCTGAAAAGAAAACAGCATTAAATATTTATGACCGTATAAGAGAGCTGTAGTCATTTCGTCCCGCTGAGTAGTATGCAGAGCATGTGTGCCATTTATAAAAATAAGAAAAGAAAAGGAAATTACACCCGTTTCCTGAAGCCAGAAAGAAAGATCGCTGCTCTGCACGAACGACCTGCTCGCGTGCATCTTGTTGTAAAACACTCGATCTGGTTCAGTTCAGATGTTTACTTTCCCAAGAAAGAAAAATCATTCTGCAGCATAAAAACAATAAAACGGCAAAATAAAATAACAGGAGGCATTAAAATTATTCCTGCGAGGCGTAGTGACCAGAAACAAAGGTCAATAAAGAGCTGGGAAGCTGCAGCTCGTTTTCTCCGCTAGAAATCACAAAATACGTGACGCTAGTTTTTAATGATGCATGTAAGCCAGGGGTGTCCAGTCCTGGTCCTGGAGGGCCACAATCCTGCATGTTTTAGATGTTTGCCTCTTCCAACACACCTGATTCAGCTCATCATCGAGGTTTGCAGAAGCCTTGTAACGATCCTGATTGTCTGAATCAGGTGTGGTGGAAGAGGGAAACATCTACAACAGGGGTGTCGAACTGCGGTCCTCGAGGGCCACAATCCTGCATGTTTTAGATGTTTCCCTTCTTCCAACACACCTGATTCAAATGATCGGCTCATCATCAAGCTCTGCAGAAGTCTGATAACGATCCTGATCATTTGAATCAGGTGTGTTGGAAGAAGGACACATCTAAAACATGCAGGATTGTGGCCCTCGAGGACCGGATGTCGACACCCCTGATCTACAACATGCAGGACTGTGGCCCTTGAGGACCAGGTTTGGACACCCCTGATGTAAGCGGTCGGCCGGTGAGAGATTTTGTGTTTTATGTTTAGATGGCAGTGTTTTGAACTGCATGGGTCTGCAGAGTCTTACCGGGACCTGCGGGATCTCCTGTAGGCACTGGGAAGAGAGTGTCTGGTCTTTGATCTTGATCTTGACCTTGATCTTGACCTCCTTTTGTGTTTCTTCTTCTTTTTGTCCTTGTCCCTCCCTTTGTTCCTATCTCTATCTCTGTCTCGATCTCGGTCTCTATCTCGATCTCTGTCTCTATGTCTTTCCCCGTCTCTATCTCGGTGTCTGTCTCCATCTCTGTCTCGATGTCTTTCTCCATCTCTGTCTCGGTCTCGTTCCCTGTCTCGGTCTCGGTCTCGGTCTCGGTCCGGCCCTCTGGAGGCGGCATGGGAGGACGAGGACGAGGAGGACGGGGCTTCCCTGCTGCGATACGAGCCGTGGTTCTGCACCGACAGCCTCTGATCCTGAGGAAACGCGAGCTGTGTTTGGGAAGCTTGCGTAGGTGCAGGATCGGCCAGAGCGGAGAAGGCTTCCTGCAGAGAACAAAGAGAAATCAGTGCTGTTTTCTTTAACTCTTCTCCTATTAATTAGCAAAGAAATAGACGGAAAAAAACGCATCGATCGGATTAAACATTCGTTTCCTACATCAGGGACACTGGGCGAATTCTCAAACGCCTGATATCTCCGTACATCTTTGAACAATCGATACGGAAGCCGGTCTGCTCGAAGAGATGCAGGTGATACACGAGGTTAGAGATTAGAGATTTATTTATGCAATGCCTCCGTGTCTACTCTCGTCAGTGTTACATACCGATCTAACCCTCATGGGGAAGGATGAATTAGGAAACAAAACAAACATATATGTGAAGAAAAGATTGATTTTTCTTCTTAAGGGCAGAAGCTAAAGTTTAAGCAATTTTTATTCCTCGAGGAGCTCAATCTAATTTCTGCTTTTAAAAAGATAAAATGCTGTCCAATCTTTGGTTCTTTAACTTGAATGAAACATCATCGGTGCTGGTTTCCTACATCAAGACGTATTTACGGCGACAGAAGGTGAACGAGACAAAGGTATGTGTGCACTACTGGGAAAGTCGATGTCTCTTAAGTCTCGTGGGAAATTATTACTCATATTCTCTCTCGAAAAAAGAAAAAGACAAAAAATCCTTACTCAGCTGATTAAAAGATGGCGCAGGTTCCACAGCCCTCCGGCTACACGCTGAGCTACAACTGTCGGCCGCAAACTGCCTCTAATTACCCCAATGTGGGTCTGTCTGCTCGTTTCGGATCGGCCTGCTGCCGGACTCGAACTGAAAAATGGCTTCAGTCCATCAGTGGATTAAACGCGGCACTAAATCTTCCAAGGACAGATTTTATCTAGCCGGGTGAGGTCTTTAAGATTGCTCCCGGGGCCGGGCGACGTTGCATATGGATGCGTTTCTGGGACCGGATAAATAAAGGAAGACGCCAAATTGGCATGCAAAAAAAAAAAAATCAACATCCAGGGCACGTGTCTGCGCAACGAACTAGCCTAAATAAATTATTGCATTTCAGCTTAACAAAAACCAACAATTCAGTCATTTGTACTTTTTCCCAGCTGATAAAATTTGTAAGAAATGGGAGGAGCATGAAAATAGAGAACGAGAGGGAGAGGATGATGATGATGAAAGAAGATGAAAGCCGATGTGGTGAAGGAGCAGAGGCAGGCGAGAATCTCAGAAGACAAAGAAAGTATGTAAAGAAAAAATAAATAAAAAAAACAGACAGGGAAGTAGAGAAAAAAGAGCAATATTTATTACACTGCTCTGTTTGCACACTATCTAGTGTCTGGGCTAAAGGGGGGGGAAGATAACGAAATGATAGGAAGCCTGGGTTTTAAAATGAGGAGTGACATACGGAGGAGGCTTATCCCAACACCGGGCACAGAAAACGTCTGCCCTCTTACTCCTGCTCCGGCGAGATATGAAAGTTCAGACAGCAAGAGATGTACCAATAATAAAAAGAAAAGAAAAGTACAGGAGGAAAGAAAATGAAAGAGTCGTGAGGATTTACACTAAAAAGAAGCTCATATAAACTAATCATATAGGCAACTAGGCAGCAGACATCTCCATCTAATTAATGGGAGCGTTTATTAGGGGACTCGCTGCCGGAGTGTTTCTCATGCACACAGCGGCCATTAATTAAAGCTTCAGCTGAAGAATACGTTTTAGAATCCACTGGTGACGAGAACGCCACGGCGCCTTGGTATCGTTAATCTGTGATTTGTTGTCAGTGGAGTCACCCGAAGCGTCTTCCTGCAACGTCGTGTTTCAGTGAACCCGTAAGAAACATTTACCAACGAAAAATAAGAACCTTAACAAATATACGAAGCCAGCGATGTCCGGGAAAGGTTTTCACCACCTTCACCGCATCGTAAAGAGCCAAAAAAAACAAAGCCACGACTAAGTGACACAATCGAAGCGAGGAAAGAGTCAGAAAATCAAAGGTTGACTGGGCCTGCACAGCTTAGCCAGCAGCTTTCCGTTTACTCGTGACAGTTTACACGAGCTGCTACAGCGCTTTTGCTTAATCAACAAGATGGGAAACACGCAGAGCTCACTGCACGTCAGCCGATCCAAAGTCGGCTCTGCAAAAGACACGGCGTCCGTCTGTTGTCGTACTTCCTGTTTGCTGGTTTTGCAAACTTACGCATCAACTTTACAAAATGCTGCATTCACTACCAGCTTTAAATCTATTCTGCTCCTCCTTCACTGGAATTCAGCTCAGATTTGTTTCATCTAATGAGCGAATCAATGCTCGGCCTTGGACCGGTCTAGTTATCGGACTTTGATTCTGACCAAATCTTGCAATGAGTGAGCAAACTCAAAACGCAGTTATACTCGTGTTGACTGAAGTATTTCTTTTTACCTCTGAGACACAAAGTTCCTTGAACGCCAACAAACTACACAACTTCCAACCAGACCGTCCACGTATTCATCTGAAGGCCAAAGTGTTCAGTCGGGGGATGTGCGCCCTCGTGCAGAAATCGCACAACATCTGGAAAAGGATGACAAGAGCCGGCGCGGCGCTGACAGAAGCCTGCCCACCGCCACCTGGCCAAACCGGCAACGGGCCAGTTCGGCACGCATCAGTCGGGCTGACGCGAGGAGCTGACATCCATCACACAGGGAGAGGCAATCTACACATCAAATGACCACCCAGTCTTATTTACACTATAAAGTGTTCTCTCTCTCTCTTTTTTTTTTTTAGGTCCTGTATGATATGACAGACAAAAGGCTTTTTAAAATTTGCATTATTGCAACAGCCTCATGTAACTTCACAGAGGAGAATTTTAAACCAGGAGATAGCCTGCATTATCTCTGGGGCAGCACAACAGACGGCGGAGAAGTCAGGAGGCAGAGGAAGAGTCTGGAAATGAGTTCTTCATGAGGAGCCACGCTGGGCGGCTCGGTGGTCGGCTTCCACAGCAGTTTATGGTATGATTGCATTTGATAAAGTTGGTCTTTATGCAGTGGTTTGAATTGATTTATTTCTCCTCCTGTGTAGCATTACAGCTAAAGAACGCACACGTCTTCTTCAGAAATATAAAACAACACGCTGACTTTTTTGTAAGGAAATCCAAATAAAATCAGAGAGAGAAAAAAAACATACCTACATAAGCAAAAATGTTGGGAATGAGTCAACCTTCTCTTGGGGGGTTATTCTTCTTCTGTTTTTTTATTTTGTTTAAAACAGTGCACTGCGGTTCAAGGAAAAGATGTCGGGCTTCATTATCAGCGCCAACAGCTGCATGCTGATAAACTTATTCAGCATACAAATGCAACCTTGTTTGGTTTTTTTGAAGTGACTGCAGGAATAAAGCTGCACACACGGAAAGCAGCCAACGCTGGACTGACTTCAGCACAGACTCGGTTCTGTTCAGCTCAAAGAAAACACGCGATATCATCACACATTGAATATTCGTGTTTATGTGGCAGCATCCAGATACTTTACTCTTATATTATACACACAAACTGCGTGATTAGGTTCATTTTGTCATTTTTGTCTCCTCTGATCATAAGTATAAGGTTTATTATTATTATTATTATTATTATTATTTTAGACAAGTATTTTTTTTTTTATTATTATTTTTTTTTTTGGGCCTTTGTGCCTTTATTGGATAGTGTTAGTGAGAGAGAGAGACAGGAAAGTAGGCTAGAAGAATGGGGGAGGACATGTGGGAAAGAGTCATGAGCGGGATTCGAACTCATGACCTCCACATCGGGACTGTAGCCCTGTACATGGGACGCCAGCTCTACCAGGTGAGCTGTAGCGGCGCCCAAGACGAGTATTTTTTAGATAGGAACTATCATTGGATGGATCAAGAAGGCCACAGAAATCAGGAGGCGAGCCAAAGACACCATGAACTATGATGCTGTCCCACACATGGGACGCTCTCCTGCAGAGACCACCGGGCGGCAGGAGGTGTGGCCTGTCGGGTAAATCTGACAGACTGCCAGGCGGGTCACGCCTCCAGAAAACCACTAGCTGATGAAGACACATCACCACAGACGTCAGTGATGCTTCTGAGAAAGACTGAAGCGACAGTTGAAACGTGTCAAAGAAAAAAACAGCCCCTATCTAAAAAAAAAATACTCATTGTCTGATAAAAAAAAAAAAAAGAGAAAGAAACCTTATACCTGCACACAAACTGATGGCATCTGCGACTACATTTGCACGTAAAGAATCATCAAAGCATGAAAAAACAAGAACACATAATATCCCATCTGGTGCTGCAACGTCTGACATGCTATTTAAGAATTATAGCAAATTAATAATGTTATTAATTTACTCAGCAAACCTCTTCTTAGACAAACAATTTCAGTCCAAGTTAACAACAGCCAACACTGGCCCTGACCTCCTTGTGCATGTTTAACAGCCCGACGTAACCAGACTGACGTTTCACTTCTGTCACTTTTCTTTTGCTGCGGCTGAGCTGTTGTTGTTGTTTTTTTTATATATTACAAAAACCCTCAATGACAATGTCACCTCAATCAGTCACATTGTTTATATTCATGGATTTTACCAAAAAGAAAAAAAAATGGCAGAAGTAGTTTTACAAGAAAAATCTAATTTTCCAAACTTCGGAGTGGAAATTAAAGCGCCTGGTTTAAGGTCGGCTGGTTGCATGAATCTGCAAGAGGAAGTGTCAGAGTAGGTCTGTATGCATGTCAGCCATGTTTGTTATGCTCTAAAATAAAATATGAGGATTTTGCATATTGTGGAAAACAGTGGGCCGAACTACCTTGCTATAAAAAAAATGAAATTAGAAATGCTGGCTGGACATCAAGTACTTTAATGAGCAAATAAACAACTGATCCAAATAATTAAAAACACGAGCTTCACATGCAGTCAGTGGACGGCATGTCTGCACAGGAAGAACTTTGAATTCAGACGCTAACAACCATCTTTTTTGTTCAGAGGTAACGCATTTTCACGCAGTAGACACAGTATTTTTCCTCCAATATCAATGTATAATCCCATCCATCCATCATCTCTACACCTTAATCCTCACTAGGGTCGTGGGGGGCTGGAGTCTATCCCGGCTGACTCAGGGTGAAGGCAGGTTCACCTGGACAGGTAACCAGTCTATCACAGGGCTACACTTAGAGACAGACAACCAAGCACACTCACATTCACACCTACGGACAATTTACAATCACCAATTAACCTCAGCATGTTTCTGGACTGTGGGAGGAAGCCGGAGAACCTGGAGAGAACCCACGCTGCACGGGGAGAACATGGAGACTCCACGCAGGGTGTCCTCACCGGGACGTGAACCAGCGACCTTCTAGCTGCGAGGCGACGATGCTAACCACTGAGCCACCTTGCAGCCTGTGTCTAATCCTATTTTACTAAATGACAGTGAAGTGGCTCAGACCACCTTCCTGGCCTCTGATTGCTAGATCACATCACCAGGAATTAATATCTGTTAACGACATTAGAGGGTCAACATGTTTTCACCCTTGAAGCTGCCGTCCAGAGCGAAGCAGCTTTTTGTTTTAATAAGAACCTAATACGTTCTCATTACAGTCTCTTTACACTGATGCAGCTCTTCAGATAAAGCAGTCTGACCTGAAGTGACATTTTAGCTGAACTAACATTTGGGATTCTACTTAAACACATATAGACACACAGTAAGTCTATATAGTGTAAATAACAAGAGGCTCAACGAGACCTTCATCAAGCGTTCACTTACCTCCAGTTGCGCGCAAGAGTCGAGCTCGGCTCTCTTGGCCTCGGGCTCTCCAGAGAACGGGCCGCGGAGGGTCTGCAGGAAGAGCGCTGCCTTCCTCTTCCTCTCCGCCTGTAGCTGTTTCTCCTTGGACTCCTTAGAAGCCTGGGCCAGCTTCTCCCTGGCTGCGGCAGCGAGACGATCCTCCAGTTTCTGCTTGGCTGAGGGCAGAGAGATGAGAGGGTAAGCACAGGGAATCGTAGTCATTGTCGTATTCACCACGGCTAGATACGCCTCCGCTAAACGACGGTAAGGGAGGAGCGTCTGACTGGAAACAGAGAGAAGAAGGAACGCTTGTTTCTGTTAACAAATAACTTGAAAAGAAACAAGGGAGACGAGAGGAGGTGGGAAGGTACAGATGGAGACATGAAGACAGAAACAGGAGAAAAAAAAAACAAAACCAGACAAGATGAGAAGTGAAATCACAAGCAAGGAGGACAAGATGATACGAGTCATTTTCCACTCTCTCCGTCACATCTAACTAAGGTGACGTCCGCCTTTCTCTGAGCTTCCAGCTGCTGTAGATGAACAAAGTTCCTGCTCCAGAAGATAAGGCCCGACGGAGTCTCAGGTGACACGTAATTTCGTGCAATTCAAAGGTTTACAGAGAAAAAGCGGAGTGGGAGGGAACATGTGGGTGGAGAAGAGAAGACAGACATCTGAGTGACAAAAGGAGTGGAAATAAAAAAATAAAGAAAAACGCTTGGTTTGAGAGATGAGGAGAGGAGATGAGGTGACGGTAGAGGATGGATCGGTGAGGAGAGCGCCAAGAGTGAACCGGAGAAACAGAGACGAGACGGGGAAGTTTAAAGCTTGAGGAAAACAAGTTGTTCTAAGTTATGCAACCGCTGGGGTTACTGTTACTTCTCCGGGTTAAAAATAGGCCGGCTGCCGAGGAGCATCACATCTGAGTACAGTGAACAACAGCCGAGTGGAGCAGAACCCACGCTGAAGCCCAGACAGTGACGGAGTCCTGGCTACACTGCTGTATTTATGGACTAATGTGACCCAGATTATCATCTATTTGTCCAGTGTGTCTATTTGGAGGCTGCAAGGTGGAGCAGTGGTTAGCACCGTTAGCGCCTCGCAGGTAGAAGGTCGCCGGTTCGCATCCCGGTGAGGACACCCTGCGTGGAGTCTCCATGTTCTCCCCGTGCAGCGTGGGTTCTCTCCGGGTTCTCCGGCTTCCTCCCACAGTCCATAAACATGCTGAGGTTAATTGGTGATTGTAAATTGTCTGTAGGTGTGAATGTGAGTGTGCTTGGTTGTCTGTCTCTAAGTGTAGCCCTGTGATAGACTGGTTACCTGTCCAGGTGAACCTGCCTTCACCCTGAGTCAGCTGGGATAGACTCCAGCTCCACCCCAGAGAGGATTAAGCGGTGTATAGATAATGGATGGATGGATGGTAAGTAGTTTAAAATACATATAGCAGAAGTTCTGAAAATAAAATCGCTCAATCCACTGATTAGTTTCTATATATAAAACAATTATTCACTAGAACGTTGCAAACAGAGTCATTATTTCAGTCATTCATCAAGAAAAATGCCAAATAATCTCCAGGTTCAACTGCTTTTCAGTTCTTTTTATGAGACTAAATTAAAAAAAAAAGTATATGACAGGTTAATTATTAAAGTGACAGGCTGATGGCGAAAAATAATTAAATTTTATCATAATTGAGGACGGCAGTGAAAAGTTGTCAAAGAAGTGCTGAAGTTTCATCTTTTTAAGCTGAACTCAAACAGCTGCTTGTTGTCACATCCAGCCAGCAGTCACCGTGCAGCGGTTTTTTATTTTTTTTACCCCCTCGTTCGGTGGTGCGTTTGTGGCCACCTGTCCGGCTTTTACTCTCCTTTTAGCTCCGTTTTTGGTCTCCGCCAACTCCTCGCGGGAACATCTGGCTCTTTCGCTCGCTGTGAACTCTGTGATTTGGTGCTACGTGGGTAAAGTACAACGTGTTTTTAGAGTTTTATCCGCCGAGAGCAGATCTCAAAATGACATTCGCTGCATTTCCACCTGGGTTTCGGAGTCGGCTACGTTTTTGGGAAACGCAGAGCCGGGGTGCCACCGTTTTAAAGCAAATGTAGGTGAGGGGGGGGAAAACAAGTTTACGTAAAGCTTTCAGTCCAACAAAATATGGATTTTGAGAGTTCATATCAAGATAGAAGATAACCAAAAACCCTCTGTGTAGTGTTTTTCTTTTTAAATATACTGACAGCAGCAACACGGCTGACTTTTTCAAATAACAAACTTCCTTTTTTCTGGTGGAACAAAAGGGTAAATGCACATTTGCAAACCAGAGCTGGACAGGTTCTGCTTTGGTGGAAAACACCCTGAAGAGAACGGCGACAAAAGAACCACAGAGAACCGAGACAATGAGCTAAAACCTCCATGAAGCTGAAGAAGTTCTCACCTCGTTATACATAATACTGCAAAAAGTTAGCATGTATAGCTGCTTACAAGCCAAAAACATGGCAAGTAAAGTAAAGGTCAGCGAGCCTGACAGTGTCTACAGTACAGACAGCATCTATGAGTGCATTTCCTACCATCTCTGAGGAGATTCCAGATGCTATGCGGTATTTCAAATCTCGCCGCCACCGCAAACATGCACATCCACTTGGAAACAATTTAAGCACTTATCACTGGAAACTGCATTTGGTCTTCGTGGCTGTTTTCCAGCCCATCAATACGGATTAGTGTTCCGCCGTCTGCCACAGATTCTCCTGCTATCTGATCAAGTTAGGCCCGCTGACTGACAGCCACTTTGCCGCACAGCAAAGCCAATTCAAGTCAGCTTTTTATTAGGCTCTTCCAGCCTCTTTCTCTGGCCGCCTGTCAGCTCGGAGAGAGGCCATTACACTCCGAGACTGTTCCGCTGAACCTAAACAGGACCTGTCACCCCCCTCCCTTGATGCTGAAAAGCAGCGCATTTGTCTTTGACTGTCTGTCTGTCTATCTTTTCAAGCTCTATTTCACAGCTGTCTTTCTGGTCTAAGGAAGATTATTACACTTCTGCTTTAACCTCCCGGAGCCTCGTGAAATGCTGAAATCCGGAGCCTTTAAAGGGCCTACGCTGTCTCCGGGACATCTGGCTGCACAACTGACAAGAGGACTGGCACCTCGATCGTGTAACGCCGACGAGCACGGAGGCAGACGTTTGCTAGAACAGGCTTGTGCTCATCAGGAGCCATTAGAGCAACCCCTCTCCGACCCCGTTAAGCTACTTCCAACAATCCAATGCAGCCGAACAGCCACTTTCTTTACAGTACGTGCTTAAAGAACGTTATTAAAACAAAGCATGAGCGCGACAAAGGAGGCCACCGACGTTGATTTGTGCGACACAGACTTCAGTACAAACCTGACAGAACAGAGATTTCTCATTAGGAAGAATTGATGGAATATTGCATTTGGTCATTTGCTTCATCTTGTGAATTATGCATCACGTCTTTCATTTCGGAGGCTTCAAACGGCGCCGCTCACGTTATCGGCAGCAGCCATCGGCGCCGATCAGCTCATGAAGGCGAGTTGTGGTTATTTCACGAGATGAAAAATTTTTACAACTTTGATCAAGACGTCCGGTTAATAAGGCAGATCAAACAGATTATTTATAATCCCAGTTATTGTTTTGGCAACTTCTCGTTGTCACTTTTTGTTTGACGGAGGATTGTTGTTTATCTGCTGCTTTGTGATCATTCAACAAGGCTTAAAGCTGCCCGATTTCTTGGAATGCAAGAGGGACCGACTGCAGGTTTTGCAGGTTTTAAAATAAAATAGAACAGAATAGAAATGCTTTATCTATCCCACACCTGGGAAATTATCTTGATATAGCAGCAAAAAACAAAACAAAAAAACCACCAAATCACAAAAAATATAGTGAATTAAGTTTATAAAAATCAAATATTCATAATCTGGATGAATACATCCATCATCCTGTGCAATATTTCTTAACTCTTTTATTTCCTTTTATACATTTATCCTTTTTTATGTTTATATTTAACTGAGCAATTTTGCACTTTATTTTGTTTTTGTGTTTTTTTACTTGTACTGAAAATAAGAGAAGCTCTTCACTCCTGTTGTACACTGTATCATGACAATAAAGGGCATTCATTTATTCGTTCATTCATTCATTCATTCAAAATAAAAGAAAGAGGGCTAAAATTAAATACTATTAAAAATACACTAACTGTACAAAACAAAGCACGTCACAGAGCACAGAGCTGAGAATGCTCTCTGCCAGACGGAGGCGAAAAGTATATAAAAGGTCCAATAAAACAACTTTAACTGCATCCAGTTGAAATTTGCTTTAGAAATCAATACCCACTGACACGTAAAAACGTCTGAATATTGATGCAGAAGTGGCTCTAAGTTAGAAAATAAAATGCATGAAGCACAAAATGCAATATTTCCTCCAGTTTGTCCAAACTGTAAAATGTATGAATTATTGTTATATATTAGGTTTGTTAATGTAAAGTTACTGAGGCAGCTTAAAAAGACCGAGCAGAGCCAGCTTCCTTTATCCACGACCAAACAAAAGACACAAAAACAGAGAGGATACGTCTCCATTACGACGCTGGGAGAGATGCATGGTGTTGTTTACTGTACTACATTGCTTGTCCCTTACTGCAGCCCGTTGAGGGAATTTATAATTTAGACTTAGCGGATTTATTCATCTCCTCTCTTCCCCATTCCTTTCTTTCTTTTTTTTTCTTCCCCCACCGAGCCTCCCAGGAAGCGACTGCGTGCCAGGAGGTGTGACAGAGACGTCTTGTAAGCACCTGCACTTATTTACTGACACCGAAGCTAAAAATTCAGCTTTGGCAGACTTGCATTAAATCATCACGGAGCGTCTTCAGCATCCTGTCAGCTGCACAGGCAGAGTGAAGCAGACGAATGTTTGACTGCTCCAACATGATGTCTCCAACTTAAAGGCTGATTATTACAAACCCACTATTATCCTTTTTTTCTGCCAGTGCTGCTTAATTAACACACAAAGAGGAACAATGCTTTAGGTGTTGTGTCACCTTGTTTTGCCTCCAGCTCCTCCAAACTGAGGGATGGTCTTTTCTCCTCCGGGGTGCTGACTGGAAGAGGCTCCTTCTCCACCAGCTCGGCTCCTCCCATCACAGCTTCCAGCCCCTCCTCTTCCAACAGCTTCAAGCAAAAATAAGACAATTTATTGTTAAATGTTTCCTATCAACTAAAAGTACATGTGAAGCAGAAGGTGAAGCAAACCTTGTCCTCGTCCGAGTCGTCATCCAGCCGGACTCTGTTCTTTTCCAGTGGCAGCATGTCATTTTCTTTCGCCTTGATGGCAAAACAGATGGGGGCAAACGAGGCTGTAATGGCACAGAGAAGACAGAAGGACACTCAGAGCAGGTCGACAGCTGCATCCCGGCCTCACCTCCGCTGACAGATTCAGAGTAAAATTGCAGGAGAACCGTGAGGGAAAAGTTCAAGACGAGGTAGAAAGCAGAGGCCAGAGGGAAAGATCAGGACAGGGACGGTGGGGATATAACAGATGACTGAATAGGACGGAGAAGTGACAAAAGGAGCCGAAGGAAAAGTTTATGAAACAAGGAACAAACAGACATACAGGCACAAAGACGGGCCCGACAAGGAGACGAGACATTTCTGCTTTATAATGAAATATCTGTGCTCCAGATGAAAGAGACGGCATGCCCCACTCCCTGAAGAAATAACCTTAATATAGGACCTTGATCCGTATTGTGGAGGGCTGAATAGTTTACTTGTGTACTACTCCGACTAGTTATTAGTTTCCCCTGGCCTGCTCCGTCGCATCCCAGCCGCCTTGTTTGAATGCACGCCTTCATTTGCATATATGTGCATGTTTACGGCTCCCGCCAGCGCCGTGGTAAGCAGACTCTTTCATCTTTTTCAGAGACATTTCTGGCCTGATATCGCCAAATATGAAATTGCCAGCATAAATACCAACAGACTGGAAGGCGGCTGTGCATAAACAGCGACACGCGAGACATATTCACATATACACTTGAGCAAATACGCTCATGCATACTCACACACGCGCCACCCAAAGGCTTTGCATCTCATTTGATGAAAGAATGAACTTCAGAAAAAGAAAGTGCAAGAAGCCGTGTGTTGTGTGCATTTGATTTATTTATTTTTTTAAATTTTTGTGTTGCCGGTGTCCTACCTTTCGCCAGCTTGGAGTCCTTGGACTTGTCTGAGTCGAGCTTATCGCAGTCATCTAAGCTCTAGATTAAGGAAGAGAGAGAAGAAATCAGCTTTTGTGTCTGTTGTTAAGGCCACATGGTTTTTGTAGCCTGATTATTTTTGTCTTGCGGTGAACCTACAATATGGAGCAGAACCCTGACAGGAGACAGATGGTGCCGAAAATGAGATTTCACTGAAATCTGCATGCCTTCACTTTTACACGATGTACTTCTACGGTGAGTTGGACGTACGGCGGGAGTACGAGAAAGTTTTTTAAAGGCATCGAGGAGAGCTGGCTGCCTTTCTCCTGTCAGTTAGTTTGGTTTTAAAGAAAAAAAAAACTCCTAATTTAATTGGATGAGTTGTTAAAAGGAACCCCTTGTACAGCGTCGGTGCGTCTTCGCTCGTGACACGTTTGAACGAGTCGCTCCTTTGCATCGGTTTCCATGACATTTAATTATTCATCCGCAGGGATCCGACCGCGGTTAAAGCTAAACGTGCCCCTGCTGCGTTGTGCTCTGTCGAAGAAACAATGTGGAGAACACTATGGTTCTGGCCTAACGTTTATGTGTCTGTAGAGGAAGCAGAGAAGCATGAACAAAAGAGGAAGCGTCTGATGAGATGATTTTTCTTATGGTTTGGGTTCGGGAGGCGGACACCCTCTCAGGTTAAAAACGTTCCTGTTTGATAAAGCTCATAGTTAGGGCTGCTCGGAGTCATCTGTCCCTTAGTGATGCTGCTGTAGGTTTAGACTGCCGGGGGGACTCCCATGATGCACTGGGCTTCTCTCCTCTCCTCTCCTCTTTATATATATGTGTATGTATGTATATGTTTCTATAGTTGCCTATCACCATTACATCTGACTAACTCTGTGACTCCCCCCGAGGTTCTCCTGCACCTGCTCTCTCTGTGGATGTCTCTGGATCCGGAGCTCCTGAACTACAGCCGCTGGCCTCACCTTCTGCATCCTGCTGCCCCACCATGATGCCTCCTGTTACCTCCACCAACCACGAAATGGAATATTTCATTGGTCCATTTGAAATGGAGGAACAAAAGGACAATAACTTCTAATAACTTGTTAAACTGTAAACTAAATTTTATATTTTCATCCTACATCCACCCAACTGGTCGAGGCAGATGGCCGTCCCTGCCTGAGCCTGGTTCTGTCGGAGGTTTTCGGTTCCGTCCCACTGTTGCAGACGGCTGAAGCTTATAGGGAATCCAGATGTTTTGGATTGTTGGGTATTTCTGCCTTTGTTAAGCGCTATGAGATGACTTGTTGTTGTAAATATGCGCTATACAAATAAAATTGAATTGAATTTTAGTTTTTAATAATAAACTACAGTCACGGCCAGACAAAGGGAATCATCGGCTTGTGTGCAGCAGGAGTCGCTCCAGACGAGTCCACATGCGCCTCACAGGAGAACACACCTCCTACCGGACCGCCACCGAACCCGAATCGAGGCAGAACAAGCAGCAGATTGAAGCGAGGCGCTGTCGGTGCACCACTCACTTCTGTTTAAAAAAATTATGGAAATAAATGAAATAAATGAGCAGCACAAACCCTCTAATTTAACAATGCATTCGTTTTTTAAAAGATGAACTACTGCGGTGTATAATCAGCAGATAATTTGTGTGGGCTTTTTTTTTTTTTCACCCCCCTCCTCATTTTTCTATTAATTTTCTGAACTGCACTCATCACAACATGACCTGCTGTATTGTAAACTACACTGAAAACAAGCGGCTTTATACCAACATTTATCTGCACCCTTTAGCTCTCTGGGTATTCTTCTGTGATTATTAGTTAAAACTCGGATGAACTCCGGCGATGAAGCAGCAGAAAGACGCCTAAAATCTACATATAAACATGCTGCTAATGAATCGCCGCTTATTTTTCCGAATGGTCGAGTGAACGTCTGTATTTGAACGATTCCTCTGTTCGCTCCCATTTACTCGTCTGGAAGCGCAATCAGTCGCTCGCATGGCTCTCTAATATCCCACTGTATGGTCTGTTACTCTTCGCATCAGCTAAATATCGCCACAAAGGCCCTTTAAAACGTGTGCACGGGCCAGATAACCAGCCAGCCCTCTGTAGTATTACCTGTGGCAAAAGTGCTCTTAGCTGCCATCCCAAATATGAAGTACTGACGAATGAGATGGAAAAGTGGTGATGAAGCCAGTGCCACAGGAGGGTGAAAAAAAAAAAAGAGCCCTAACCTCATGAGATACCATGTTTGAAGAACGCTTCAAAGGCAACTTCCTAGTATTCAGCTGTAATTGAACAGTGCTTTCAACAGTCAAAGCGCTTTTCCAACACCCCAGAGAATAGAACTCCTAAAAAACTCTGACAATCAAAGCTCGCGGGGAGAAGAGGCGGGACGGAAACCGTTCGAGGAAGACTTCATTTGGACAACGCAGGAGTTTGATCGCACCTTTAGCTTAGCTTTGACGATCCTACGATGCGTCTACTCGTCTGGTAGGAAGTCATAAGCTTTGCAGACAAGGATATTTAAAATAAAACAATGTTTGCTGCAAGTGAAAAATACAAATTTCTGAATACTTCTACACATAACCTGTATCTGACCCAGACCAAATGAATTAAACTTTCCACTTTGTTCCCAGATTTTTTCCAAAAAACAAAATAACGCCTGCCGAATCCCAAAACACACGTCGTAGTCGTTATATGTTGTTTATAAAAACTGTCACATTTTAATAACAGATGCAGACAAACACAGAACATTGCACTTGACGAGGCTAAACTGACTGGGATAATCTGACAGCAGAGGGGATGAAAGCTGCCGTGCTGCACATCCTACCTAAGCTGATTCAACAGTGAACGTGTCAGCTCGTCTCCCCGATACATTATTCTTACAAATTTGACTCCACAATGGCAAATCATTTATCTCTGAATGGATAAAATTCAATCTTTCGAGCCGGGAACGCGCTTGTCAGAGCCGCACGGAAGCTGCTAAATGCCACCGAAAAGGATAAGACGTTATTTTATGTGTTTGAATGATAAAGGTGTTCTCAGAAATGGAGCAAAAACTTAAATGAGACGCCAGAGTTCAGTTTTAATCACGAGTTCAATCACATGAAACCCAGCGTAAATCAGCGAGCGCTTATGAGAGGAATTATTTTGGTAATTTGGACTATTTACAAAATACTTTACATGAAAATGTCATTTATCCTCCTGAAAGTTCAGCAGCTTTCTAACATTTTATTGCACCAAAACAACGGAAAAGTTGCTTACTTTGGCAGACTTTCTCACTTTTTCATCAACCATTAAACTATAAATAATCGCACCGACGTCGAGCAGCAATATCTGCATCCCATTAGCCGCAGCACAAATCACTAACACCAGGCAGATTTCTTGATAGAAAAGCCAAGCTGCTGCTTGTTGGAGCAGCCTGAGCCGCGTCATAATGGGCCACACTTCTCTGCACTCTGACAAGCTAATGGATTTGATTCGTCTGAAGACAAATCACTCCTTAGAAAACTCGCTCACTTCTCGCCTTTCTTTTCTTACAAAGCACGCTCACAAAAAAGAAAATCGTAACTATATGCAAATATATAAATAATACACGTGTTGGCTTTCCGCTCATACGTACGGCGCCGTCTATCCTTCCATCAAGCTATCAAATCGCATAAAACTCTGCTGTCTGAGAGGATTAATGGCTTGGTGGGGATCTGACTCGCAAACAGATGTGGGAAAGTTTAGCTGTGAGACCTGAAAAAGCCTCGAGCTGAAGGAATATTTCATTTATGGCAACCGGGAAAAGATTCGGCGTCATTTCAAGATTTTAAACGAATAACTGAGACGAGGAAGACGTTACCGGGAACAGGAAAAAGCACCTCAGAGCCTCAAACGTCTTAAAGGCAGAAACTGAGATCGGATGATTAGTTAAGCTGGAGTGTTTCTCCGTTTCGTATTGAGAAGGTTGGATGTTTGACAATCCTCTTGACATTTACTCTTATTTCAATATTTCAGGCCAGGATGTCTTTAATTTTAGCGTAGCAGCAACAAAAAGTGTAGTGAATTACTACTTGTCTTATTCTAAACCTGGTTTGCAAATGCTGTTAAATGTAATAAAGGAAAGAATGGATTCAACTAAACATCAAATGCAAACGTCGTGCAGCACGTTAAGAACCAGAAACGAAGCTGTTGTCCAAAGCAGACGTCGTAATCCGCCGCGAACCGCTTTAAGAAACACAAGCCGCAGCTTTAAGACAGATTCTCACGTTCCCATAACTGGAAAACCTGCAGGAGGACTTTAAACATGCTGCGCGTGCAAGACATCCTCAAAACATCATAAAGCTTGAGCTGATCTGCAAAGAGCGGCGGATGAAAACTCCAGAGTAGAAAACCTTAAAAAAAAAACAGCTGACTGTGAAGAAAGTGTTTCTGCAGGACAGCTGTAGTGAGTTTAATATTTGATTTTAAATCCTACAGAGTGTAACGTGTGTCCCCAACACAGGACATGAATCCCAGAAGATTTTCTACAAATGTGTTGTACATGAAAAGCTCCATTCGCGACCCTCTAACGTCATCAGATGTGCAGTTTTTGTTCTTTGGGTTGAAATGAGGAAAAAAAAATGAAGCCGAAGCTAATTACGCTGACCTTTCTTTGTGAAATCTTTCTTAACCTGTCTTGTGAAGCTGCTCTTCCCCAGCGTCGGTGAGAGCAACGCTGCTCATGAGCCACATGAGACGCTGGGATTTATACGGGTGCTTTAATTATTTACGAATCTGTAGCAGCTTCGATGTTAATGGCAAAACCGCGGCTTTGTCTAGGAACCGTGTTTATTACATGGATTCTAACGGCTGTGTGGTGAGAGTGAACTGTAGCCAACACATGCTAGCATCAGAAATACTAGATTTGATTGAAGGTGATTGAGACGGTGTAGAGGAAAAGCATACACACATATATACTGTATGAAGCAGATAATACCTCGGGGAAGCCTCTTCCTTCCTTCTGCATGAAGTAATTCTTCTTAAACTCGTAATAGGTGTTGTACTGATGCCAAGACTGCAGAAAGTCAAACCTACAGTGGACAGAAAGGAGAACACGTACTGTATGAGCCGAGAGGTGAGCGCCCCATAAAAGATGAGCCGCAGGATGATGAAGAGGCTCAGCGAGTATTTGAAGGCAAAGTTACTGATAAGAGTCTCTAAAACCCCGGACCTGATTGGAATGACAGATATATTTCTGGCGTAGGAACACTCACCGAGGATCGTTCTTGGCACGGACGCTGGCCTCGAACTTGAGGCCGTTCCTGGCGACGTACTCGGCCAGCTTGTCGATGACGGGCTGGATGTCGGGCGGCGGCGGGATGATGGCTGGTGCTGTTGTCGTGGGAACTTGAGCTTCGGCTTTTGAGCTGGTTGAAGGTTAAGATGTGACGAGAATTAAACTGAACTTCACCTTTTAAATCTGTGTCCTTTGGTTATTCTTGTTCCTAGCTACACTACGGTAATCTCTCATACGCTCTACTGTGAAAACATGTGGTCAAGGCAGAGACAATACCACTAATTAAGCTTCTTAGTTTAACAGTAAAAAGCCTGATCGAGGATCCGTATCATTATGCTTGATCAAGGTTCTTGAGGATACTGTAATTAAGAGCCCATTAAATCCTATTCATCTTAATTAATTTCTGATAGAGCAAAATTCAATTACATTTTTTTTACAACATATCAAAGCTATCACAGAGCATTGTGCGGGGACGTCCATGACACCGTACCTGGTTTCTGGTAGACTTGCCGCCGGAGCAGCAGAGCTGGTGACCTGAGAGGGGGCTGGTGATGCCACGGCGACGGTGTCAGCGGGGGCGGCCGCCGTCGCCATTTGGGGCAAAGAGTCGGACGAAGCAGGAGGCGCCATGACAGTTGAGGGCATGTTGTTGTAGTAGGAGCTGGCGTCTATACCCGGAGGAGGCGGGGCTAAGCAGAACGATCCGTCTGGCAGCATGTAGTACCCGTAGTACATCGCCGCTGCGTTCGCTGTAAACAAAGCGAGAGGTTAAATACCTCCCAGACACTATTCAAACGAAGGACAAACAGTTGTGTTGGTTTCAGTGGGACGTGTGAATGAATCCGCGGCTTTCTGTTAGTAGCTGGGGTGAAACTGCTCCGCTTTGTACATGAATAAATGGATGAATCGGTCTGCTTTTGAATATATGGACACAACATGGTGCAATCCACTGTCAAACTGCTGCAACAGCTTTAAGAGGATCCCATTTTTCAGGTAAGCCACTGAACTCTATGCCTTCAAGTGTTGGGAGGGGGGGGTTCTCTTGTGTCCATCCCCTTTAATTGTATGTTTTTTGAATTAAAAGATTATTTACTAATTCCAGACTCTTGCATCATTCAGTCATCCTATTTTAACCTCGGTGACCAACAGGTCAGGGAAAAGTCTGGATCCTGTCACACCAGTCCTGTTTATAAATAACACAAACGCCACATTTCTGCTCAGCCGCTGTGTTGAAATGAGATTTTTGAGGCAGGGGAACTGGGAAAGCTGGACAAAGACCCTTTCTGACCACAGTTGCTTTTCAAAGTTGCCCTCAAGCCCCCCGTGTGTTTTTCTCTTTTGATATAAATACGAGAAAGTTTAGTTTTTAGATGCAAAATTTGCATCTAAAAACTTTCCAGCCGCTTTCCTGTTGTTCAAATTACTTTGCAATAAGTTTAAGGAATGGAGGCAACAACAATGTGGTTACAGGGGTCAGACCCGTGAGCTAAGCGGTGTAGCGCTGCTCATTATTTGGCTGTAAAGGGCCTCTTGTTGCTGAAGCTGGCTCAGCGCTGCGGTCGCTCGGCGCATCATGTCGTCCTGTTCCCTGTCAAGCTTTGTTTTTATGTCTATTTCGCCAATTAATTTAATCGGCAGGGGGACAAAAAATATAAATCAACACGCGACCTTTGCGGAGGAAAGGTTATCTTTCCTATCATTGGGTTTGTATTACAAAGACCATTTATTAAAAGCACAGAAGAGGAGGAAGGGGGGGGATGGAAATAAATGGTCAGTGTCAAAAGTGGAGACAGTGTGATATTAACACATTAGTCACTGGACTGGTCGACTTAAATGACACATCCAATTTTCTCTCGTCAGGAAAATGGAAAACCGAAGCAGGCATTTACAAACTTGTCATGTGATAAGGGATAAAGCTTTAAGACGTACGAGCCAGGAAGTAGATTTAGTTCAGACAGACGGACGGATAAATGATCAGATACGTTTCTTCTGGACAGAGATATAACCCTTTTTTTCTAATTCCATTTGAAGTCGAGCTCGAGTCCTTAGAAATACGGGACATTTAAGCTTTTTCTATACACACTGGTGCAAAATTTGCAAACTTTAATGTAAAAAACTAATAACCCACTTTATTAATTTCCTCACTGTGGGATTAACAAAAGGCTTATCGTATCGCTGTTCAGCGGACTTTCATTTTGAAGCTAGCTGCTTCCTGACGGGTCCGACTGTTAAGTCTTTATGCCCATTAGGGTTGAAAGAAATTATTATATAAACTAATTAAGGGCGGCACAAAAGAGGCAATGGAGCAACTTACTACCCGAGCTCTGCACCAAGCGTCATAGGTGACAGAACAAAAACAAGAGAGACGGCGTTCTTATTGGACCGAGCCAGAGCCCGGCTACATGGGTGGGCAAATTAATAGCCCTCCCCTGTCCCGAGCAGCAGCAGCAGAGTCTCGACAGCATTAAACAACTAGGTCATGCACAACCAATTTAAAAACATCAACAGGCCTATTTCAGTAGCAAACATCGGGTCAAACGGCAGCCTTTACGAGCGGGATGAATGAACTCCATTAGGGCATGAGGGCAGCCGGAGGCCAGAAACCACAGCTTTAACCGGGCGCCTGCTCCAGACGAGGACGAGCACATGTGTGGGATGACTCTGTGGTGCAACCTAAAGTCAGTGTGAGGCATCTTGAGTGAATGTATGTATTGTTTCCTCCCCTTCTGTGTGATAATATGACTTTGATCAATCTTCTTCTTAATCTCACTCCTGTGTGCTTCATGTATGAGACTGATGGAGGCGTAACAGGAGCCTCAGACCTATAAGTCATCCTCCTGCGGGTTTCTACAGCAGCCTCACACAATGCCATTCATCAACATCTAGGAGGGTCATGACTGCAGCTGTGGATCTCCTGCTTGTTAGGCCGACGTGTCCCACAAAAAAAAAAAAGACTTTAACATTTCATGTCGCACTCTAAACTTTTTTAGTTGAAAGCATTTATTACTATTTTAGGGCCCGGTGTGAGTCGAGCCTCATGTATATTCTGATATATTCATTTCATTTAATGCGTGCATTTGTCAAAAGCTTGTGAACGTGCGGCTGCTGAGAGGGACTGTGTTAGCTGTGCTTTAATGTTTTAACGCACCCTGGTTTGAGCTTACAGACTCTCCACGAATTAATATCACCGCCGATGAGTTCCTCGTATCATTTTCGACACACGAAACAAAAGAAAAAGTCTGAGTTGTCGCTTTAATGTCGGGTTTCTGACTGAAATGTCACAAAACACAAACGTCTATTTAAGTCTGACCTGGCTCAGAAGTCCGGTTGTGTGCGGATCGATCTTTGAACTATTTCAGGTCAGCTCCTCTGTTTTTTCCGGCTGGTTACATCTGCCCCGGAGTATCTCTAAACTCGATATTACCCGGCTGCTGAGGCGCTGACAATCCCTTTACATTAATTATGGACCACGGTCAGCATTAGTAGTGAGGAATTGTGTTGACAGCTGTAAGTTGTCGAACACCCCGAGCAATAAATAGTTCAACACCTGGACAGTACAGCAGGCAGGCTTTGAGTATCTTTTACAAAATCAAACAGGAGCGAGCATACGGGTCTAAGGCTACGTCCTCACTAGCGCTTTAGCTCAGTTTCAGGATAACCTCTAGCGCGATCATTCACTTGGCGTGTCGGCGTAAACAGCTGCTTTGCTGTAGAAAACACTAGAGAAGAAGAAACGTAAGGCCAGAGGTTTCTGTAACAACAGCTGCTAGCACTGACAACACAATCAACAGGCTAATCTGTTATCAATAATAAATTAAGAGCCAGTAAAGGCTTGTGTCTTAGTTTTCCTCCTGAGAGGGGTCATGTACCAGCAGTGTGATAAATCAAGGCGTGACCACAGTGACAGTAATCAGACGGCACATCGGGTGTCTCTGTGTCAGTTTCTTAAAGTTTGTTCCGGTCCGGACTAAAATGATGTCCTGGAGTTTTAAAAAAAGTCTCCTAAAACTCTGGAGTAGCAGAAGTTATACATTTAAAAATGTAAACGTACCATAGACTGTATAAAAGATGGACATAGCTGCCGTGACGTCACCCGTTGGTTTGTGCACTGAGAAAATGAAGCCAGGGTTTTGCTACTTCCTGGTTGACATCTTGGATTTTTGGAGCCAGTGACGCAAAAATCGTCGGAGGGGGGCGGAGCCATAGGAGCAGCGATTGGTCAGACGGATTGAGAGGCGGGCCCTCTCTGCCCCGCCCACATTTACCGCCTTCTGCTCGCTTCGTCTGGATCGTCGCTGCCGATTGTCAATCAAGCCAGCCACGCCCCTTGCCCCGCAAAATGTGGACGATTTTTTGAAAATTCAGTATTGATTTATTTTCAGATTGGCCACCTGATCTCTGGATTTGACTGAAAACTAATACGAAAAAAATCCTGAGCTGTAGGAATGCAGTATTTCTTGATCTGCGATCACTTCTTTTCCAATTCAAGTCAATGGGAGCCAGGGCTTCTTGGAGCCAGCAGCTAGTGGACGTAGTGATATTGCAGGTTTTTGACACTTCCGGGTTGGCTTCATTTTTCAGGGCCGGTTGCTACGTCCATCTTTTATACAGTCTATGAAATGTACTGGTGTGGATGTGGCCAAAGAGCAAAACAAAAGGAACTGATGAAGCATAGATGGAAGTAAATGAACCAGATCAGCTCCAGTACTGAATAAATGTCATATATATATACACTCACGGTCTGTGGCGTACTGCGCTGGTGTACTGGCTGCAGCTTCCTCCGGCTTGGTCGCCACTGCTGCGGTGCCGTTCCTCTCCTGTCGGGCTTTTCGCACAAGAGCTGCCAGAGGATGATCCGGGTCCATCACCTTAAGCGGCTGCAGAAGAACAAGTGTTGGTGAGAGTAACACATCACACAATTAGGCGGCGTTTCTGTAAAAGCAAAGCTCAAGCAAGTGAGATCACATTGCAGGTGTATTATAAGAGACGAGCCATTTTTCTGTAATAATATGCGCCAAATATTCGAGCTCTCTGAAGTCAGAAACCATGAAATCGGTATTTGAATACAGTGCAAAAAAAATTTAAGCACAACTCTGCAAGAAATTGTGTACAATCGTCAGTGCCGCATGAGCGAGCTGCAGAACTGAAGAGTCAACCCCGTAAAATGTGACAGGAGAGGAAATTTCTCATGATGGGAGGAAATAAAAAGGCCTCTTACTAAAAGGAGCTCATTATTTTTCTTTAAAAAAAAGACAACCTTCCATTCTGGCTGCTGGGAGACTAATGGCTGTCCTGACAGGGCACATGAAAGCAGCAACAAAGAGCTGTAACATGAAGTCAGGGAAACAGAATATAGCTGTTGTCTATTAGTCTCATTAACAGGCATGGGCAGCACTGAAGAGATGTAAAAAAAAAGGAATTTCAGATGTTTTTTTGCAGCGTGCCTACACAGTGTTATAAAAAAAAGAGGATGCGGTTTTAAAGGAGTAGAAAATTATGCATCTAAAATGTTGAAATAAACCTAAACATTTAATTCCTGCCTCTCGATTGAAACGACAACAAAAGACACAGTTTGATGACACTGTGAAGCAGCAAGGAATCGTGGGAGCTGTCATTATCGCTGCTGCCAATCAAAACCCGTCTGACGTGACTCAGGCAGAAATTAAAGCGGTTATATAAAGTATTGGTATGATTAGTCGTGTGGATTCATGTCACTGCTGCAACTAGCTGATGCTAACTGGAGTTATCAGGAGTTGACGACCCTTACAGCTAGTTGAGACAGTATTGATTATTAAACGGGCCTCGGGGTTAAATTATTAAATACCGGAGGATCAATTATCAGTTTAGTGGTTGGTGCTGGAGAAATTAGAAACATTGATTTCCTCTTTTTTTTTGCTACAGTAGCGTTATCTTGCACATTTCATCTCACCAACTCCCTTCTAACGCGTCGAAAATACATTTTCGCTGAGTGCGAGGGGCGGAGCTAGTACTCGCCGCCACCGTGCAGCGTGCACACATATGCTGCTCAATGGCAGGGAAAAGTAAAAGTTCAACAGCATGCCTACAGCTCGCTAGTCAGTTCCGAAGTCGTACAAGAGTTTTGCATGCGAGACCAGTAACACGATCAGTCTGTGGAAACGTCCAACAAAAGTTCATCACTTGCAGGCAAAGAAATGATGAATCTGACAGCCTGGCTCATAGCTGATCTCTTGTTAATCTGTTCATGTTATGTATGCAAACAGCCTAAAGCACACACCATGAACTGAATAAACTATACCAAGATGGGTTAAGCCGATTGTTTAGCTACGGGTGTGTTCATAGGTTCAGCCTGTTGTAGCTGTAATAGTAAGAACATTTTATGAACCGTCGCTCAGAAGTTCGTTGTTGATTTGGGGGCTGCAGGCAAACTGTCGTGCTTCATTTTAGTCCTAACAGAAAGTTATGAAAGAAAAACTCTTTACTTTAAATGAGGGGAAAAAAAAGACTGGACAAAGAAATGCTAATGCTGTTCTTAATTTGTTTTGATAAGCGTATCGTCTCAGATCGATCAGCAGCATCGGTAAGAGTAGTAGCGCCGTTAAACTCTTAATACCCTAACAGCTACTGTGGCCAACACTATGTGGTGAATTCAATGGTTTGACAGTCCAGAGCTGTTATCCGAAGTTAGAACAATCACACTAAAACAGCCACGACTCATCACATGTGAGCAGCCATCTAGCTAGTTCGTCTCCTCCTTGTTCTACCGTCCTGTCACTGTTTTCTCCAGCAACGAGGGTTAAAATGGATGCTTGGTCTTGTCGTTTTTTGACGTGTTAATGCAGAAATATTCCACATTACAAGTTTAAGTATTAGATCAGGTTCTTCTTCCATTGGACGAGCAGAAAAATGTCGCCACACGAGGTAAACGGGGCTGCAGCACAACGTAAAGCATTTACTCCATCAGGAAGCTCCACACTGCATTCTTACCTTCACCAGCTCCTCCAGGCGAGAGCACTTCTTAGGCGCAAAGAGGCTGGGGTGGAGGTAGCTGCCGTCTCCGTCCTCGTCCGAATCGTCGGAATGAGATTCTGCAACGAAAAAAAAAAAACATTAAGGAAAAAAAATAATGGATGCATATGCGAACATAAAAGTCCCCGTTATAATTAATGCCAACTGTGAATTTTTTACGGCATTATTCTGCGCCGTTCAATCGCCCATGAAATATAGATGCATCAGTACATGACACATCTTGATTCTGCAAATTTTATGTCTGCATTAATGCATAACAGCTGCGAAGGAGTTCGGCGAGCGCTCGCTCTCGCTCACCCTGCGACTGCTCCGGCTTGCTGGTGGAGACAAGGTTGTATCGACCTTCCTTCATGGCCCGCAGGATGTGTTTGTAATAAGGGTTCAGGTAATGGTCGAAGCGAAGGAAGTCGAACTGGGAGTTGCCGGCCTGCTTCGCTTTCAGCACTATCTCAAACTGAGCCCCCTGCTGACACACGAAGTTGGCCGTCCTCTCGATGATGTTGTGGGTCTTGATGGTTGCCGGCTACAAAAAAAAGAACAAAAATGCAATTTATTCAATGCAGATACAAATTCCATGATTGACACAGTTTGACATTTGAAAAATAGAAAATGCCTCCTTTTTAAATACGCTTGAAGCAAGAAGAAAAACAAGCATCAGTGCCGTTAGATGACAGAACATTAAGATGCGACGCACAGTACGAACGGCTTTTTCATGCCAAGGACACGAGCCATTTTGTCTCGGAAGCGTTTCCATGCCAAGCACTCTTATTCTCATCGTGATGGCATTAATTCTGAATGGGGTGGAAATCAGCGGAACAAGGAACGGTCCATTATTCATTCATTATTGGTCGACTTGTGTGCTTTCAATGATTAATCATTGTCATTACCTAGAGAGTGCGGGGAAGGGGAAGTGCAGCCATCTTCAAAAGAACACACGTATCCCGTCACGGTGAAAGTCATAATAAATACTAGCTGGGCCAAAAGGATGCCAGTGACCGGCACCGACAGGCCATTATCATGTTTCAAGCTGCCAAGGACTTCCTGATGTACAAGAGCCCTTCTTGCTTCCATTTAAAAACTTTGCAATTAAGGAGGAAAAAAAGGATGAAATATCTGTTTTATGTTCATGGAAAGAATCCTCTCCTACACGTATATATCCACAGAGAACATCCTCAAAGTATAACATCTAGTTTATATTATATGTACATACAGAAAAGATCTCTGTCAACTCATGAGTTCCAGTCTGATCCTGTTGCATATCATCTCTCTGTTTACTTGCACTAAAACACCATTTCAATAGCTGAATAATTACAGCACCTCCATTAAAGTGCTGCGGCGCCATAAACCGCGTTTCCCTCGTAAATATTTGCCTCTTGGTACCTTTTTTGGTCTAAGATGCAACAAAAAGATTCTGTCAAGGATCTCAGACAAGAATTTCCTCTGCTCTCTCCCTCTCCTGTGGCTGGAAAATCCAATAAGCTTTAAAAATTAATAATGACAAATGAAGATGGCCCGAATCTATTCTACAGATAGGTATCAGGACCGGCCTGGGCGTACGTATATTAATGAATTAGTATTGGCTATAATGAAGCCGTTCTTTCATATCGTATCAATAATTTAAACGCACCAGCCTAATAAGTTTGAACCGAGGCCTTGAATATTTTCATTAAGGAGCTTATGAAAAATAACGAGTTTAAAATTTAGGCTACAGCTGCTTTTGTCAGACACGTATTTATTCAGCGTTTTGTGTCAGACACAGCGTCTGAGATAGCCAGGATTAAAAAAGTTGGACTGGAATTGGACCCAACAAAACTCGATAGTGATATTTCTAATAACACTTCAGAGAAAATTGAGGAAATGGACTAATAATAAATATGCACATCATGTACTGCTGCTGTGTCTGTCTGCACACACAAGAGTGTTTTGGCTGTTTTATACACAACTTGGAAGTTTCCCACTTTTATTGCTTTTCGACATTGAATCTTGGTGAATATAATATAATATAATATGGTTGTTTGACAATCGTTTTCACAAAAAGACAAAACAGAAGTCTTCAAAGTAAATGTAAAATAAGTAACTTAACAGGCATTACCACCCTTTAAAATTACTTTTCCAAGTCAACACAGGTGCAGCGAGTCTGTGCTAGAAGTCACACAGTTACTGACACCTGAGGTCACCTGAGGGCAGTGGGTGTGTCTCAAGTGAATATAGTATAAAGACATCTTTATCTGCAGGGTCCAGTCACTAACAAATCAAAACCCCTGGTTATAACTACACCATGAAGATGGAAAAGAAAAGTCCAATCAACTAAGTGACACTGTTATTGAAAATCATAAATCAAGGGATGAATACTCGTCACTCAGTATACTTTGAAGTAAAGTTAAATCCATCATTTACATCAGTTACAAGAAGGAGACTAGTGAGGGAGGCCACCAAGACACCTATGACTCCTCTGAAGGAGTTACTAGAAGGAGACTAGTGAGGGAGGCCACCAAGAC